CTGTTAGCCAGCCTAGCCCTTCTCGACCCTGCTAGATGCTTACATGACTTACCGAATGCTGGATCCTGCTCTTGAGAAAGCTCTTGGAAGAGCGCAACGCATAGATACTGAAGATCCTACATCTGGGTCTGAGACCCTGGAATATCATTGCCAAGCAGAGTGGCCAATATTGCATTAGACAAACTGTATATTTAATATAATAAACTACTAGGTGTATTATTTGGTATAATATTGACCTGGTAGCTTCCTGTGTTCTTAAGTGGCCTGAAACAATTGTTTTCAAGTCTCGAGAACAAAACACTGTTGTTTAGTAATCTATGAAGAGGAGAAGCTGCTTGGGGTATAAGGATATCATGCTGCCAGCGTGTCATACAATTAATTTTATTTTTTCCTGAAATACCATAACTTCTGTAAGTACTACATGTCAATGTATTTATGGATTACGAGGATTTTTTTTTTTTAAAAAGACAATAGTTAGACAATTGTCCTTTCTTTCTCTCTAAATTTTCTAAGATTAATCAAGAATGCCTTCTTAGTACACTACAAGGGTCATGTACTCTCCAGAATCTGCCAGCTTACCTTACAGCACTGCTGAGAAGATACAAATAGTGAGGATGCAAATATATAATAATTTGCTCTCTGTTATATGTATATCTCAGTCCTCACCATTTCTATAAATAAATATATTAAAAATTATAAACTCTGGCCATTTCTACATGAATACTTACATGCAAGGAACCCTTGAAGACGAAACTCACAAGGAGTTGAGGCTATCTTTAAAGCATGGTTTAAAATAGTACATGGCTACTTCAAATTTTAAATGTGCAATAAAGGCCCCATTAGGATGACAAACCTTGGACTACGCTGTACAGGTGGCAAGAAGGAAACAGCGCAATATAGGGAAAAGTTCTTTGCCTGCACAAAACTTAAGTATGTAGGAGGCAAGGCTAGCCTTTTATTTGATACACCCTTTTCTATTTGAAAAGAACTTTCGTCAGTGGTGATGATGAGTGGAGGAATCTCCCGTCATCAGCCTCTTGCCTGCAGGGCAGTCATATACTAACCTCAGTATGTCGAAAACAGTCGATCTCCTGGACCTCTTTGAGCTTAGTGGAGACACAGGAGAGGCCTTTCTCTGTTGCTGCTCCCAAACTCCCTCCCACAGGAAGCCAGGCTGGCTCCATCTTTGCTCTCCTTCCACAAACAGGCAAAAACGTTTCTCTTCAGGCAGGCTTTTCTTTAGTGACTGACGGCGTGAGAGGGGTTGTTATATGGATGATTCGGCTTTGTTGCTTTCAATTACTTTAATTTTTATGGGCAATCATCTCACATTACTTAGTAGCCATATATTTCATGGCAACTATAACGTAACAAAGCAACTTAAATTATATTACAATCATCTTACTTATACAATATTTTGCCGCTTTATCTATATACCTGCTAATTTCATATGCTAATATACTTTAATTTATCCTCTAACCCATTTCTCATAATTATCTGTCCTAAAAGATTACAGACCAACAATCCAAATTATTTCCCACAGCATACTATGCACCTTGTGGCTTTTAAATGTGATTTTAGTATTGGTTTTATTTTCCGTTTTTTAGTATGATATTTGTTCAATCTTTTTCAGTATTTGTATATTCACTGTTGTTATTTTAATGATGTAAGCCGCCTTGGGTCCTTTTTTAAGGAGAAAGGCCGGGTAAAAATATTTTAAATAAATAAATGAAATTTGAGAGGATTGGAGAATTTGAGGATATTTAAAAGCTGCGGATGGCTCCCAATGATCCGCTCACTCGTAGTCCATGGGCCTGAAGTACTTCCTGCTCAGAAGATTCTGTCTCCTCAACTCAAACTCCTCTCTCCCTTTTTCCTTGTTCCAAATTTTTCCACCCTATACGGAAGGAACTTTTAGTAAAGGATGGGAAATGTGTGTGCATCAGTTTATCTGATTGTTTCACCTTCACCCTAATAGTGATTTGTTTCTGCTTCCACCTTCATAAAGAAAGAATACCGACCTTCTGGCCAAGAAAAGGACAGGTTATTTCCGCAAAAACCCTGAGCATATATCTGCGCTTCGAATGAGTCTAGCACTGGTTTTGCGTTATGGATGGGAACTTCTTAATCCCTTACGGATCCCATGAAAGGCTAGAAAGACTGTTTAGCAAACAGCAAGATTTTTCATTATTCAGATAGCAGAGGTCTTTTCGGTTGTACCGTCCATTTATTCAGGAAGTCTAAGAGGCGCATTTTCTTTTCTGATAGAACTGTGTTTGCTTGTGACAGGAGGGTTGTGTTAATGTCCTACAGAAAAGAAGTTTACGCTAAGCACAAAAGGTATCAGCAAAACATCTTCCTCCAGCAAAGGCAGCAAGTGAGAAGGAGAAGCAATAAGCTAGCGCAGCACAAAAATCCCTCGTCTTGCTGGTGGAAAGATTGGCTCATTAGGGCTATGTTTCATGCTGTGCACCATGTAGGTGATGGCCCATATCTTAGCTGCTGGACCTTTGCAGACATTAAAGAAAGCCTACAGGCTGCCTACTGAGAACACAGAGCACCTTGCTTCTGGGAAACACTCATGCCTCATCATTATATGCTACTACATGTTCACAGCTGGAAGACATGCGGTGTCATTCACAGAGAAGCCATTAAGCTATGCCTCAGAAAAAAGGTGCAAAAAAAAAATAGTGAACAGGCAAAATCGGTACTTTTCTTTCGGAGTAATTATAATGTATACCACAAAGTAAAACAAGAAAGAACAACACGTTGTAACAAATGCAGAGTGAATCAACATTTCAAACAGATCTTGGGTTGGGAAAGGTGGGAGGGGAGGTTTCATCAGCCCATCAGTTTGGGAAGATGTAAAATTCAACACAATGCAATGATACAAACAGGAAGACACTTGCAATAAATGTTATGCAATATTAAGGCAATGGTGTTCCACCAGAAAGCATATTTTACATCCTGGTTTTCTTCTCATCTTTTCTTGGGCATATGATTCCAGTGCATATGAAATCAAGAGATAACTGCTCCTAGAGGAGGAGGAGGAGGAGGCAACCTGGTTTTTAGACGGAAAATATGACTTATGTTTTGCCCTTTATTTGAAAGGAAACGTTTAAGCAGCAGAATAAGTAAACAGACTTTGAACATCTCTTTAACTTTCTGCCAGATCATTTCTTCACCTACAATCCATTACCTATCCTGTAAGCCTTGATTTGGACCAGACCTCCTTCATATACCGGACTATTTTTTAGGGCTATACATTCCAATAACAACATGACCGCTGATTTAGAGAACAAGTCCTGATCATGTTTTCATAACACAGGAGCTTTTTCCAGGCTGTTTATCAGAATGCATTTGTTCTTGAAACATATGCAGCCCATAACAGGGTCTGGAGGCAGGCACCTATGCGAACACACTGCAGAAGCAAAGCAGGCCACAACCTGGTCAATTTCTTACGTGGTGATCCCAGGCAGTCCCCCATGCAGCTGCCCTATACCTCTTGAAGGAAATGTGGGACAAAAAGAGGAATAAACAATAATAAAAATCCAAGTTTTGCTACCGCTGCAGATATATAATTGTGGATGACAGAGGTTGAGGATTTTGTCAGGGCCGGAACTCTGGGGCTCACATTGGGGCTCTGCTCTTCACTTCAGAGGAGGAAACTGGTATGAGCCCTCGGTGCTCAGCGTGCACAGGTGCCCTCCCTCCACTGAGAAATATTCAGCAGCCTACCCATTTAAGAGCGTGATTTGCATGCTGGAATTCTGCAGAGCTTTACAATATGAAAAGAGAAAGAACAGTGATCCATAACCAAAGTTAAGAGTGACTGTAAGCTTATGGTCCAAGATTGCCCTGTTGTCGCTTACAGAGAGACCCACATGCAGCCGCGGGGCCTTCTCTCCATTAGACAGAAGGCAAACAACCACACTTAGGTTGTAATCCTATATCCAGGTACTTGCGCCTAAGAATTAGTTGGGACCTACTTCCACTAGGTATATACAGAGTTGAACTGTTCAGGATTGGACTTTATATGGTGCTAGGCGGCATTTACAGAAGAAAGAACTGTGCCAACAGGCTGTATAATGTATTTTAAAATATCTGGTATCCTGCTCTTCAGATAAATACAATTTACTTGGAATTTAAACAACTGTGCAAGTAGTGGGACTGCTCCTGAGACTGTTACAGAACCCTCTGAATAATAATAACCTTTGAACTGCAGAGCTGGAAGGGACCTTATGGATCATTTGAGTCCAGCCCCTCTCAAGAGGTACAGATGGGGATTTGAACTCCCAACCTTTGCCTAAGCTGCAGAGCTATTCAGCAGTTCACCACAGCAGGTCCAGAACATAGAGGCCTGGTTGCTGAGTGGAAGGAATAAATATCAATGTCGCTCCCCAATTCTGGCCACCTTACTTTGGTTACCCGTCCATTTCTGTGCCAGCTTCAAGGTGATGGTGTTAACCTACTAAGACCATTTAGGACCTCAGTACCTGGCAGAATGCCTGCTTCCAAATGGATCTGCCCGTCCTACAAGAACATGCCAACAGGTTGGCTGAGGGAGAAGACGAGAAACTGGGTCTTCACCGTGTATTTTAACCGTATTGTTTTAATTTTACTATTATTATTTTTTGATTGGCTGTATTCTGTGTTTTAGCCATGTTTATTGTGCATTTCTTGTAAATCACCCCGAGTGGCCTTTGGCCAGATGGGTGGTATAAAAAGGAAACAAACAAATGAATCAATAAATAATATAAATAAATAGTTCTGACTATATTTTAATCAGCCATCACCCATGCCACATGGCGAATCAGTACTGAAACTGGGAAGAAAGGAGGGAATGGATTGAAAAACCACAATCAACTATGATGGGGTGGGAAAGTGAAGATCCTGTTGGGGGAACACAACACATTAAGCAGTCCTCCAAATCTGGCTTTGTCATAATTCCAGATCCAGCTGTTACAAGCAATAAAAGAGCAAGTTTATTATGCACTTACAGGCGTATTGGACTGTTCAGTGAGCTTCTGCTCCCACATCTTCAGGCGTCTCTCCCGTTCCTTTAGCTCCTGCTCCTTAAAGCTCAGATCACGTTCCAATTTCTTTAGCCTCTCCAAAGTTGCCTCTATTTCACATCTGCACAGAGATAATTCGTTAAGTTGTGCCTTTTCCTGACAAGTACAAATTGTTCATAAATTTTTATCCATATGAATATTAATTAAATAAGGAAGGGTAAAAAGCACAGTAGTAAGTCAAGCAGGACATTTAATTATCACCAAGGCAGGGTGTTTTTTTTTTAACAAAGCAGAAACTATTTGCACTTTGAGAATAAAACCTAAAGGTAGAGCTTTAAGAATAGAAAGTGAGGGCTTCAATCTCTCTCTCTCTCTCTCTCTCTCTCTCTCTCTCTGTGTGTGTGTGTGTGTGTGTGTGTGTGTGTGTGTGTGTTGAAGTATTACATTTTGATTCAATGCACTTCAGACGCATCTACACATACAGCAAAATTAAACAGATTTAAGCTGCACAATTTCATGGACTGGGTGGTGGATCCTACTTTTGAACACTGTCACACTTGATAAACAAATGTTTTTGCACATATGAAGCAGGATTCTAGCGTAAGCGGACTGTGATCACAACACAAATTCCGCTGGCAGAAAGGCCCCATGGTTCAATTCATGGCCTATCCCTTGGTTCTAAGCCAATCTATATGCTAGTCTTCTATTTGCAATGTAGGGGGTGGGTGGGGGTGCCATGTCGGTCTGTTGCAACAAAAACAAGGCATCGTGTAGCCTCTGAAAGACTAGAAGGTTTTTATCTGGCATAAGGTTTCAGGGACTGTAAGCTTTATCGTGCATCACTGAAGAAGTGGGGCCACAGTCCATGAGAGCTTCTGCCCAATAAAAAATAGTTAATCTTAAAGAGGCCACAAGACTCCTTTTTGTTCCCTTGGAAGGAGCTTTTAACATAGAGAAGCTCTCGAGTGTGAACACCCAGACACAAACACATACCAGTAACCTGAAGTACTCCAGACAATTTTAATACCTCATTTTGTCATGACCTCCCTCCTCCCACCATGCCACTAGAAATGTACATAGATGTATACATATTTTAAGGAGTATAAGATGGTAGAAACCTGAGAGGAAAAGAGAAAGCAGCCTTTAACTGTCACTGCTCTCCTGCTTTGATACAGAAAGACTCCCTGCAACCAAACCGTTAGCATGTACTAGACAAGGATCATTCCCTTCTAGAGGGCATACATTGTAGCTTGAAAATAAATTTGTCCTTCTTGAAAAAAAATGAGTCTAGGTTGGCATTCAAAGTGAAGTGAAGCTGCTTCACACGTTTTCATAAACTAGTTTTATTTTTTTTAATAAAAATTACCGTATTTTTCGCTCCATAAGATGCACCTCTCCATAAGACGCACCAAATTTTTAGGCGAAGAAAACAGGAAAAAATAATCTGGGAATTTCGCTCCATAAGACGCATACACTTTTCCCCCAATGTTTTTTTGGGGAAAAAAGTGCGTCTTATGGTGCGAAAAATACGGTAAATAATAATCTGAAGCTCCAAATTATTATTTTATTTTGCAACGGTAAACCACTCCTTGAACAATCTCACACACCTCAAAAACCCTACAATGGGTTGCCGTAAGTCAAAACTGACTTGACAGCATATAATAAAAAATACTCTACAGATTACACTGTAAAATGATATTATTTCTAGCCCTCATGTCCACTATCTAGTAAACCTCTGTTCCCAGTAGTTATTTTTCACTTCCTTTAAATGAAGAAACTCTTGATAAGGGTTGTTGTTGTTGTTGTTTTGCTTAACACTAAGTCTCTGTCTCTTCACATGGTCAGGACACCAGAATTTGTTGCTGTGCTTTCTACTACTTTGGTAGAAAAGACGTCTGACAGAGACAGCCATGAATCAATGTCAATCCAGTGCCAACCTCTTGTTGTGCCTGAATTACATGCCTGACATGAAAACGACCCATGACTGTCAACAGCAATGGCCTTGGAAAGAAATGTCAAAGGTTCTTGACATGCAGTAGATTGCATTAGCTGAGCTCCAGTGTTGCCAAGCAAAATACAGCGATCCTTTTAATAATCTTTTCTACGCCCTTGATCCAAATGTAATTCTAAGGGTTTAACTACACATGATGAGAGACATAGGACTGCTGTCACTCTGTGTTCCTTTTTTCCCCTCTTTGTCATAATGCCTGGGAAAACATAATGTGTGACATAACATGTCTTATGAATGTTGTCCTGCCAACGCAGCCAGGAGACATGAAGATGAGATGCTGCAACGTACTGTGTACCAATGTCATGTTGTACCTTATGCTGGAGCGACTCAGATCAGTAGAAAAATAATGATATGTGGAAGAGGTAGTAAAGAAGCACAGAGCAGAAGACCTAGTTCTTAACCCATAAATTCTGCACTGCAACAAACAAACAGAATATAAACTGAAGGATCAAACTGGATTGCTGCTTGGGGCAGGACATTGTGTTTCAGATGTCATGATCAATTTGCAGAGGTAATAGTTTTGCATCTTCTAATGATTCAGCAACTTCAAGCAATTCAGGAGATCAATTGGATAATAATCCCTTTGCCATTTTATATACAACTGTAATATCTACCACAAAATAAACCAGTTGTAATATTGTAGAGAATCAAAAATAAGTCTACTATGTTGCTTTTATCTGTACAACGTGTGTCCATCCATTTAAAATGTTGTAAAGATGGCATCCATTTTCAAAAATTTCTGCCCTGGTAACAGCTTTCTGTACATCAGAATCATACATTATCTCCCTTTATTAAGCAAAACTTCTTTATAAGGCAAGGCAAGGCTGTGAAAAACAACTGTATTAATTTTTTAAAAGTATAATAAAACAGTGTAATTTAATTGAAGGCTTCTGTTCATTGCCCAGTTAATGAGTCTGTTCCTCCACAAGTGTAGCAATTTACATTTAATATTGCTGGTCATGTGTTTTCACTTCATTACAATATTCTTGCAGATTAATACTAATTTGTTTTTCCACAATCCAGCTTACTCTGCTATTACAATGTATAAGGAGTTTATAGTGAAATAGATAAAAATATTGTTTTGCATGTATTGATCTTCATTGACTTTTTTAAAAAACTGTTTTACACACCAAAGCTAGCCCACATGTTTCTGTTGCAAATGGGGAAAAAAAGAGAAAATTAAATTTAAAAATAAATCAAGTAAAGCATCAGCTCCACAGTCGGGAAGTACTCTTCGACCTTGCGTTATCCCAGGACTCCCTGATGGCGGCTGCATGGAGACGTGCTTTTATGTAACTTAGTTTAACGTGACAGTTGAAAAACCTTTCTGAGCCAGTCTGACAGATTTAGCTCATGGCTTCATTACTTTAGCTGATATCCAAATGCTTAGCATAGTAACTAATGGGACTTACAGAGGAGTCTAACTCACTATGTAAATCCCCACTGATTCAATAGGCCTACTTTAGTTGAGTTCTGATGTACTATGCTAAGCAAGAGGATTTCAGCCATTGTGATTTGACTACTGCAGTGTGCTCTACATACAAATGTGACAACTAAGCTGCTTTTGGGGATGTGGTCACAAGATACTACTATTCTAATTCTACATTATTCTTTCCACGGTGGTGGGAACCGCTTTCCATACCCTGGTCAAGGTGTTGTTTTACAGCCCTCAGTAGCTTGAAGGTTGGCTAGGGATTCCCCCCCACACACACACTAGCCTTAGTCAGTTTCACAAAGATGGAACTGTCTGGAGGCTAGAATCTTCGGGGGGGGGGCTCACTTGAGAATACCATTGCCTGGGGAGGCCTGCCTCATAGGCATCTTGCACCAGCAATTCCCCTGTGTAGGGGAATGCAATCCTATTCAGTACCAACCCTTGTTGCTTTCAGTGTGAAGACCACAAAGAGGCATCTTTTCCATCTGGTTGTTTAAACTGCTTGAACAATTGTGATGATTTCAATGGTTTTATTCTTAAACTGCTTTTATTGCTTGCTAGCTACCTTGGCTGCACTTGATTTTTTTTTTTAATAGATGAGGTTGGTTAAAAATGCATTATTAAAAAAAAACCAGAACAAAACAAGTGAATTATTCTACATTTAATCACCATTTTAACAATGGACTGCATCCACTCCTTGTCCTCCTGAAAGAGACAAAGCTCCTAGTATGCAGAAGAGCCTTAGCAAACCAAAGAGGCAGGCAGGAACCGAGCTCTTTGGCTCTAGTCCCTTCTTTTATCAAATATGACATTCTTAAATATAATTTAAACCTTACTGGACTGTAACCCAAGAAAAATAATTCATATGGATGAAATGCATGTAGGCATCCTAGAAATTATTCCTCTAGGGCAGTGGTCCCCCAACATTTTGGGGCCGCTGACTGGCTGGTGAGTGAGCTCCATGTGTGTGGGGGGCTGGGGCACCCCCACGCTCATGCGGTGGTCGTGTTGCTCCTGTGGGGGCGTGTTGCACATGCACACAAGTGCAACACGCCCCCCCACAGGCGTGACATGTTCCCCGTGAGCGTGACACACCCCCACGAGCAAGACATGCCCCCCGTGTGAGCATGACATGCCTTCCACGTGCATGCAGGGTGCGTGTGGAGATCCGTATCCACGGCCCAGTTCCGGCAAGCCCACAGTCCAGCACTGGGCCATTGACTGGGGGTTGACGACCCCTGCTCTAGGGAACTGAAAATCTGTCTAATTTAAATTCAAAATATAAATATCATCTCATTGAGAAGATCTGTTCTTCCCCATTTCAAGGATGCAGAATTAAAACTCCCCCTGGAACACTCAGCAAGCTATAAATAGGGATGGACCCTTGGGTTAACACAAGTGGGAGGAAACGTGAAAGAGGATCTGGCTTTCACTTTTGTGTTCTTTTATTTATTTCCAAAAGATACCTTCTAAAATACAAATGCTTTGTGTTAATAAAAAAACAGGGGACATGTTTCCCTCTTTTGTTTAAAATCTTCAATCAAATGGTATGACAAAAGCTGTTGTCGGCAGCCAATCAGAATGTCTCAAGGGAAGCGGAAAGTTTACAAAAAGGCCTGGCTTGGTTGTTGGATCCTAGTGGGATTACTCTAAATCTAGGATCCTGCCTTGACTCTTAATCATGTGGCAAATCTCTCCCTCTCACTCCTCTCAGGTGACATGAAGACCTGATGTGTGTTGTGTATGCCTGTGTGTAAAAACCATCTAGAGGGAAATTTTGGAAACAGTAGAGGAGGAGGAGGAGGAGTATGCTTGAGGCAAGGGAGGTGAAGAAAACGAGAAAGTAGGAAGAAATGGCCAATGCAGACTCATTGCTACTGCCTAGAGTCTCAGAGTGAGGAAGCGCAAGCAGCACGCAGAAATGGTAATAACTTTCTCTCCTTATCTCCTTTTGTTTTCAAAAAAGCAGGGTGGGCAGTGAAGGAAGTGGGAAAGGAATGGGCATGCTTTTATTCTACAACACCTCAGGCTCCATCATCTGCCACCATCTGCCAGCAATTTTGGCTATGTATCTTCTAGGTTCCGGTGTGCTGCGCTGCTTGTGAGTTCCTTCCTAGCACCCTCCATCTTGTGCTGTCTTACTGCCTGTGCCTCTGTTGTGGTTGGCTGTATTGTCACCTTTTTCACCTCGTCTGATTCTCCTTGTCTCTGCTTTTTTTGAATCGTTTGTACAGGTTTTTAAGGCTTTTTTAAAAAAACTACTAGCACTCCTGAAATGAATCGGGGAAAACAAAACAAAAGAACATGAAAGAAGCAATCTCTTTCAGGTTTAATGAAAGGAAATGTGCATGAAAGACACAAAAATGAAAGAAGCAGCCCACTCCTGGGGAAAAAAACATATATATATATATTTCTTTTAACCATGCAGACACGCAACCTTAAAGGTCACTTTTCTCTCTTTGGGTCTCTTAATTTATTAAACAACCTCAGATATCAGCTGTTATTTTAAAAATTACCCAACACATTACAAAATACCTTTTAATCCTGTCTAAGGCATGTGCAACTGGACAGTTATCAAAATGCACCAGTAGAGTATGGCCCCATTTTTATGTCATTTGTGTCTCCTGCACCACTTCTTTCTGCATTTCTAGATAGCCATCACTACATGTTACTCTCCTCTCCTTTTCTGATTCAGACTATGCTGTGTTTCTCTTGTGTTCTTCTTAGATGAAAGCTCCCGATCTCCTGCAGCACCATTTATCAGGCACTAGGCTTTTGTGGGGCTTTTATAAGACTCATTCTAACAACTGTTGATGCAATACGGAAAGCAGATCAGGGGAAATGTTACACACCGAATGCACCGTCTGGTCAATGTGGCCTTTCATTTGATTTATGGACAGAAAATTCGAGTATCAATTACAGAATGGCCTAATAAAACACTTTGAAAATGTAGAGATTTGTTTGATAGCATGAGGTTTGGCTCAAAAAGTTTTCTAGAAGTTGGCTTGCCAAGTGTGTGGTACAGCTACATCTTTAGCCTTCTGTGGCGATGAGAAGGCCAAGGTTTTGCATGCACCTCTATAGGCACACTCATGTTCAAATAGTGAGCTGACGCCAGCATATTAGGAAAATGTCAAAAATGTAGGGTATCAAAAATTAGGAAAACGCCATAAACTAAGAGGACTTGACTCAAGTATTAGACAATATCCAAATCCAGTTGGGAATTTAAGCACAGAATTGCCTAAACTCAACTGTTACGTCTCAGTAGAATAGAGCTACTGAATCAAGGTGCTTCCATAGGTGTTAACAAGTCCCATTCAATCACTGGGTCTCAACTTATTGGGCCAAAAAAGTGGATTTATCCCATGGGGAATACATAATTTTCACTACATGCCAGACAACAATGAACCCTTAGAATAAGCATACAGTATAAGGCAAGCCCAGGGAGGGCTTGGGGGTCAAATCTGCGCACTCAGTCCCCTCCATAAGGCAGATGGGCAGTTCCAGGTTTGTTCTTTAAATTGAGGGTGTAGGGTTGAGCGGTCTTAGGGAAGCTTCCTGGTCAGTAAAATGAAAGCTGTTGTTCCAGGAGCACAAAATCACCATTTTTTGGTTGTTTAAAATAGATTACTCCCCCTCCCCCCCGCCGCCTGCTTGGGACTGGGTTCTTGGGGACCCTTCGAGACTGCAATACACCCAGCTCCATCACAGATGCAAAGAGCCATAGGATCAGGCTTTTATCCTTGAAATCTAACCAATGTATGAAAGAAACACCCAGGCCAAGAAGGAAGAAAAGAAGTCTTCCTACAGGTACTCTTTAACTCTCAACACCCCCCATCCAAGCAAACCTGCAGCATTTCCTTTTTCTAATAAGATATGCTTCTGGCATCTCTGTCTGTCTGTCTGCCTGTCTATTGATCTATGGAGGTACAAAGACTGCAACCCTACATTAATGTTATAGGAAACAAGTCTAATCAGTGGGATTTACTTTCAAAAACACATGCTAGGGATTCCTATGATTATACTGTAGTAACTGTGGAGTGTTATCTCTAGTGCAGTTCTACGCTTTCATCAGGAGATGGCGCAATCCATTGTGCTCTTCTAGTTTCAATGCTGCGGGTCATTTGCTGCCATACTCTGCTGAGTCAGTGGAAGAATAATGTCAGTTCTAAAACAAGCTATTTATACTTGTGTCATGTGACTTGGCTCAAACTTCCTACCTTGTGCTCACTTTTTCCACCCATGCAATAAAATTCTCTGGTTATCTTTTCACTTCTGAAGTTCTCTTAGGTTTAGGATGTTTTTGTTTGAATAGCTCTTCTTTTCATAACCTCGCATTTGCTTACTTATTTTTACTTCTTTAGAGCCCTTTAATTTTCTTGCATGTTTTCAATCGCTTTCTTTAAAGTGGCAAGCCCCAAAGAGTTCAGTACGCTACCAAATTCTGCTCTGCACTGACCTGGAGTGTGGCCAAGGATTCTAAATTTAGACGACTGCAAAGTCCGCCTGGTTACATTCCCTTGCTTCCACGGGTCCATTTTCAATAGCCCTTCAACGCACTCTAGTCTGAGCTGTTCCAAATGTTGCACAGAGATTTAAGGGCACTTTCAAAACGGACCCCAAGGGTGCCTTTTGCATGCTTGTTTGGCAGTAAAAACAGCACAGCCTGAGAAATGCTTGTTTTTCTGCAAAGAGAAAAGCCATCTTCAGCTGAAGCACACCGCTTATGAGTATCAGGCAAAATCCAAAGAAACAAAATAATAAAAAACAATACCAAAAAAAGAGAGAGACAAAAGCATGTGGCACCTTAAAGACTAACCATGAAAGCTTGCATTAGAATATAATAGTTAATCTTGAAGGCGCCACATGTTTATGTCTTGTCTTGTTTTGCTTCTTTAGATTTTGCCTGATAGGCTTGCACAGACTAACATGGCTTAAGAATTTTACTTAAGAATTTTACTGACACTGATTTGAAAGCAGAAGCATCGACAAGTGACAACTTTACAACCACTTGCCTGTTAAAAACATTTGCCAAGAGAGAAGAACAAACAGGCTGGAGGCCGCTGACATGGAGTTCAGGTCATGCCTCACAGCTCACCAGGAATTTGATAAAACTCTATTTGGGCCTGAGTAGATATCTCAGTTACCTTGAAAACACCATGAGTGTCACTGTATGCTGGATGTGACTTGACACAACATACAAAAAAACCAAAGACCAATAGACAAGAGAGTGCCACGTGCAGTACAATTTTGGAAACTGTCAATATATGACTGCAGAATTCAGAGGTGGCAAATTCTACACGTTCTTACTGACTTACTAGCAATGGGTGAGCAAATGGGCTCTAATAATTTAAAAAATGTGCTTCTAAATCTTAGAATTTAATTTTGATCCCTTTAATAATTAGTTGCTTACAATTGTAACATTCACAGTTTCTGATTATTCTGGTTATGGGAGCTAAAAACCTTTAAAACTGGCTGTAAATTTTTATAGCTCACATTCAGTATGAACTTCATTAATTAATAAGTAAAACAGCTCTCAAAATGGCCAAACTGTGCATCCAATCCATATATCATCCCATTGCATGAGCAGCAGCCTTCCTTGTTAGTAATATCCCTTTCTGTGCCCCTGTGTGCCCCTCCCAGCCACGTCAATACCAGAGGTCTGAGGTGGCACTGAGTGATATATACACAGGTTGCCGGGGGAAAACATTTCCGTGTGCCAGGATGTCCCAAAACTCTGCTTTGGGACAGTATCACTGGCAGATGCAAACTTTGGAACTAGCTCATTCTGATTATAAAGACACCAGGAACAATAACTGCTCTGCTCCATCATCCCCAGTATGAGGCCTATAAGAACAGAGTGGAAGAATTCAGGCCTGTCAACTTCTGAAGTATTCATGCTGACAACTCTTATTTCCCACACCAGTGTGATGTCATATTTACAACACTGCATTAGCTTAGCTGTTCATACTCCCCTGAAAACTCAATTATTAACAACTAGAGAAAGCCCATTAAATCCATGGAACTTAAACAAATGTTGCCTTGACAAGTTCTCATTGATCCAGTGGATCTAATCTAGCGGGACTGAATGCAGGCTGGTGCCCCAAGGCCACAACTACACTTGTATGCCTATCTCTGTATTAAGACTGTGGCTTGAATTGAAGATTTCAAATGGGCTAGTTTTTCAAATGGGAATAAAACTGGATTAATAAAGGCAAGGCTTATTTTAAAATAAAAATCTATCACAGATAGATCATGCATTCCATGAAGAAACCTCCCATAGGGTGGCATTCAAAGGGATACTGCTTCTAAACAAATATACATTTTCATATTCCGCAATCAGACATTGGACTAACTGTAGTATTACAACCAGTGCTGTACTGATAGCATGACAGAAGCACCTTGCCTTCTTCTCCCCTCTGCAGCCATCAGAGCTGCCTGCAAACTGTCTCCAGAGTGTTGACCAGGTCCTCTGTGACAGGCTTTCGGGAGGCCCAATGGGCTGTAAAAGGAAGAGGGACGTTGCCCGGCCCTGTGCCTTTCCAAAGGTTGTTGATGTTCTTCTATTGGAAGTTCAGTGTTGTTTCCTCCAGAGTGTGATAAACAGGAAAGGTCAAGAACTCACTCCACTGACCTCTTCCATAGGCAGCCTTTTAAACAATAGTGAAGACTTACCGCCACTCTGCCTTGTTATGCAGGAACGAGTTGCATTCATCTGGAAGATTGCTATCATTTGACATGGAGTCCAAGATTGAAATAATTTGCTTGAAAGAGGGTCTTTTCTAAAGAAGAAAAAGGGGAAGAGGATTAAATATTTCCAACGTATACTGTATATATTTAAGTGAAATGACTTGTTTCTAACACCACAACATTCGCCAAGGAAAGCAAGAGTCCAAAATAATAATAACAATGAGATGTGACTAGGGAACTGTTAGATACACACACACACACACACAAAACACAAAATACTATTTATGGTTATAAATTTAATTGGTCTGAATTACAAAAGAGTCTTAAAATTGCACCGTAACAAAAATTCAGCATGGACCCTTGGGATCTCTTCTTCCATCATATCATGGTGAATCTTGGTTGTCTTAATGTATATGGAAAGGGTTCATCTTAGGACAATCCAGCCTTTCAGAAAGAAAGAAACCAGATTATCAGATTCTAAGCCTCTTCCAGTCCTGTACGATTTGGCATCCCAGCCATGGACACACAGTGCACTTGGAATAAAAGCCTTCAAGGCATCCGAGTTTTTGTTTGCTGTTGTCTGGTCTTACATGGTGCTCTGAACGAGTTCTACTTGACACAAACATTTCTGGACTGCAGGCCAACTCACTGCATCCAAGAATCCAATTTTCACAGTGCCACATGATTCTTTTTGTTTGTTTGTTTTTGCTGCAGCAAATCAACGCTGGTACCACTTGGAAAATGATGGCGGTGGAAGGCATCTAGGTTATTACGAGCTGCAGCATTGAATGAAGGTTTCCCACCATGCATCTCATATGCTTCCTGATAGATACCAATCACAGTCAAAAGTGCTGCACCAGGTTGGAAGGAGCGTCGAGCAGGTCCAAGAAGGCAGCCCTGACAAACAACACTTCCAGGGTGGCACCGATTCTTCAGTGCATCCTAGGCGTCATTCTGTTTTTCTCTCTCCCAGCCAGATGGCACTGAATCTTCCTTCTCCCAAATGCCTTTGGTCTTCAACATTCTGCAGTGCTGGGGATGATGCCCAGAGACTTGATGAGAGAGAAGAGAGCAGCTGTTGCAGCCAACTGGCCTGTTTTCTTTTCAGCGCTGGCCTTAAAATAAAATCATTACTTTCAAATTGAAAAATGTTAAATCCCTGTTTACAGCCTTTGGTGGGCCCTCTGGGGCCCAGAGACTCTGGCACTTGACCAATCCTACTAGTTACGTAAATGAAGCATGTCAATATTCCCATGCCAATCAGAGGAACAATACCCTTACGGGAACCTTTTACACTACAGACACCTTACTAAGCCCATGATTTAAACAAACAAACAAGACTCAATATCAATCTTACAAATAGTTTTGCATGCACTTCCCCAGAGTATTACACCATTAATTGTATCGTTTTATTTACTTAAAGAGCATTTAGGCCTTCTTCTAGGGTAGAATCCTCTCAAGGTATCTGACGAAATAAAATATTGAAGCTTGCAGGTCAGAAAGCACAACGCTCACATTACTGCCTTTCTATCTGCTGCAACACATAATCCAAAGGCCTAACTCCAGCCTTTAAAATCATAAATGATTTTAAAGGCTACCAAAGAGCAGAGGAGAAGGCAGCAGGTGCTGCCAGTAAGACAGAAAGGTGTCGCGTTGAAGAGCAGAGCTCTCTCCGTCCTGCCGCCTGCCCAGTGCTTCTGAACTTAAGCGTGTGGCCCGTGGGTGAAAAGAAGGATGCTGCCTCATCCACAGTATGACAGCAAGATTCAACTACCAGTTCAGCCAACCTCTCCATATAGAGGGGAAAGGGGAGTAAAATATAAGGTTGGCTTAGGTACTTCTACTTTTATAGCACTACTTCAGGGCTGTCTTCAGAGGTTTCGCAAGAAAGCTGTCCAAGACAAAAACCTTTTCTTGGCAAGACTACCGCTCTGGAATGTTCTTCTAATGGAATACATCAGGTTCCCTCTTTCCAATTCTTTCGTTAGAAACTGAAGGCACTTTTATTAATGGCTTTTTAATGTCTAGCAACTCACTGCTGCCAGTATGAACTCTAAGTATCTTTTACTACTGCTGTTGTTCAGTTGTATTTTTGTTTGGTTTAAAGTTATTAGCGATGGCCTCTACATTGCTGTTTGTTTGTCTTACTTTAAGAAACTGGTGATTAAGTTGTGCTTGAAAAAAAATATATAACAGCGATGGGCACACTGAGTAGAAAAGTGTGACGTAAAGAAACAGAATTACTTCTTTCTTGTGCAAGTAATTTGTGGCTTAATATAGGAGCCTCACGGCACAGTAGTTAAACTGCTTGTAGCGAGCAGCCCCGCCCTCACCTGTCCGTCACAGTAGAACAGTGGAGAAGAAGCCAATGAGAGGACAGTAGGCGGAGCCAAGGGAGGGAGGGGGCTGGATATAAGGGCTGGTGTATGGAGTCTGAGAGAGAGATTCTGGTAGTGAGAGACTGTGTGAAACTTAAAAAGTCAACTGGTAGAGAGTTAGAGATCTGTAAGAACGCCGAATGGTACAGAGAGGTAATAGAGATTTAAAGTTAAAGTAAAACTGATACAAATACAAGTGATTAGCAACCTGTGATTTACCTATTGAATACTAATCATATGTTAACTTTCCTGATCTAATAAATAAGTTTTAAAAGTACACATGTCTCCTTGAGTGAATGGTATTGAGGCAGCAATACCTGGTGGCAGCGAAGAAGGAAGAAGGGCGAGAACCTTGTGAAGACCTGAGAGGAATAGGGGCTTCAGAGGAGATCGCCACACTGCTGTACTGCAGTCAAGGTAGCCAGCACAAGGTTGACTCAGTCTTCCATCCTTCCATGGTTGGTAAACCCAGCTTGCTGGGTTGAGGGGAAATCTGTAAGCTGCATAATTAAATTATAAACTGCCCAAAGACCGCCTTAAGCCCTATGGGGCAGTATATAAGCAACACACTTTGCTTTTGCTTGGCTTTGCTTCACCACAGGAAACAAAAAGCCAAAGTGGATGTTTACATGTTTGGTCCATTTGTAATTACAGTGGTTGGCAAGAAAAAAGATTAAAAGAAAACTGGGAAAGAGTAACACTTTATTTACTGAAAATGTTTAACAAGCAGAACGTGACAAAAGGCTACATGAGGAAAACACAGTTTTTAGACATTTGCTTACTATTTAGTGCAGCACACCCAAAGTAGGCCAGCCTCTATGTCATTCATACAATGCCATCTTGCTGTGAAAATTAATCACAGAAATGTAGATGGGTCTCTGTTTTGTAAAGAAGAGACAAGGATTCACTTCATAGAAGTTTCTGAAAAGACTGTGCAGCTATTTACAATATTTCAGTTTTAAGCAGGTAACTAATGAAATTTGTATCCACATCTTCAAACCAGTTCCTCTAGAAATTAGTTTTAGTCTAAATATAGTACTGCATTATCATTTTACATGACCGAATGGGCTACATTACAATTCTTCTGTCCATTTCAGGGTGTTCCTCTGTGCCTCTGCCTTAGTGTTAGCACTAAGATCACAAGATAACTCGGGTCAGATTGCAGTGTCGTGGAAAAGAAGAGTAAGACTGTGCCGTGTACAGCGGAAGGCAGCCAGATTAATTCAGAAAAAGCAGTCATAACTTTTCTATATTTTTTCCTGCATTTAAATCTTCCTTTGTTAAGAGTAAAAAAGTGGGATAATTGTTGAAAACTGGGGAAGTCACCATTAAAATGTTTCTCAAGAGAGCATTGCCTCTGTTAGTCTGTTTGACAGACCCCAGACAAGGTTGAGACAAAAGGTTGAAACCAAAATGTGGATACATAATAAAGGGATGATGCACATCCTCTCTGCATCACGCCTGTAATTATACCATTTCTGCTAAAATTACAGATGCAGCAATTAAAACGTGCATTTTAATTTGGGTGCACAAAAACAATTAGGAACAATGCTGAGGTGTCTCTCCCAGGCAGATCCAAATGATTTTCACATTATAAAAGAGAGACAATTTCTTTATTTTAACTGTCAAACAGTATATAAAAAAAGTCAAATGTGTAACAAAAAGCGACAAGTGCTCTTCTGTGTAGGAGCGTGTATTCAATACTTAGGTGAAGGGTCCCCCCCCCTTTCCCCGTTTTCTGTGCCTGTCATTTCTGGTCCATCTGCTCATGATTCTAACACTTAAAGCCTCTAACCCACCCCATATCTTTTCTGCACTGCTGACATCATAGTTACCTTTCTCCCAAACCAGTCCTATAAAGACCCACGTTTTAAGACCTACTGCATAGTTTACTGCTAATCAGCTTGGAGCTGGAGCACAGCATGGCAGCAGGTGCACATTTGCCAGCATATTATTTATACCTGTTGATATAATTCCATAATGGTTTTCTAATGTCAAGTCCTAATGGCCTGCCTGAGCGGTTCATGCCTCCCTACAGATCCCAGATGGGTAAAAAGTGGTTACAGCCTCACAGTAATAAATACAAAGAAAGCTAGGGAGTAAGGTCCTAGATTCCTTTGCAACTACCATGGCCTCTGCTGACTCAAAGGGCAGTTTTGAAAGGTTTGTGTTCAGACCTATGAATCCTCGGGGCAAAAATGTATTAGAGGATAACCCCAAAAATCCTCTCGAAACATCTCTACTGACCGCCAAAGATGACTTTCCATGAAGTATAAATTTATTCCGGTGCTGTCACCAAAAGAAGCATAATGAATGGCCAGAACAATAGAGATACCAAATGGACATCTGGGACGTAGGAAAAAATAACCCACTACAAAAAGGCTTCTGAACAACAGTGCTGGGTATTTTAATAACCACCTTTCTCTCAAATAACTCCCTCTGGAGACAGAAGAAATAACAGCAATAACAAAGTTCTGTTCTGCTTTCCCCAGGAAAGAGATGAAGAAGATGAAGATGATAACGACAACTGGGTTCTCTCCAGGCCTGTATTAGAACCTCACTGCCAGTCTAAGGGGAAGGGAAATCGAGATTTAGAAGCTACGATGTTTTTTTCAGGAATGGAAGTCCACTCCATAGCCTTGAACAGGGTTAACTCTCAGGACTTACAGTACAATTCTTCATCTGATAGGGACATATCTGATCAACGACCTCCTGATAAGATTTTGAAACATCAATAACAGCAATATAAGAAGAATAAATCCCATTATCTAGACTCCTGCAAAAAAAGGAAGGCATTAATCTCTGCTTCCTTGCCAAATCAGAGGCTCAACACACCAATGAACCTTTAGTATTCCTGGTACTGGGAAGGTGAAGGAGTTGACAACTGATTCAGGATATAGGTGGATACTGTGTGTGTGTGTTTAGTCGTTTAGTCGTGTCCGACTCTTCGTGACCCCATGGACCAGAGCACGCCAGGCCCTCCTATCTTCCACTGCCTCCCAGAGTTGTGTCAAATTCATGTTGGTTGCCTAGCAGACACTGTCCAGCCATCTCATCCTCGGTCGTCCCCTTCTCCTCTTGCCGTCACATCTTCCCAACATCAAGGTTTTTTCCAAGGACTCTTTTCTTCTCATGAGATGGCCAAAGTACTGGAGCCTCAGCTTCAGGATCTGTCCTTCCAGTGAGCACTCAGGGTTGATTTCCTTTAGAACTGATAGGTTTGTTCTCCTTGCAATCCAGGGGATTCTCAAGAGCCTCCTCCAGCACCACAATTCAAAGGCATCAGTTCTTCAGCGGTCAGCTTTCTTTATGGTCCAGCTCTCACTTCCATACATCACAACAGGAAAAACCATAGCTTTGACTATTCGGACTTTTGTTGGCAAGGTGATGTCTCTGCTTTTCAAGATGCTGTCAAGATTTGTCATCGCTTTCCTCCCAAGAAGGAGGTGTCTTTTAATTTTGGGGCTGCTGTCTCCATCTGCAGTGATCATGGAGCCCAGGAAAATAAAATCTGTCACTGCCTCCATGTCTTCCCCTTCTATTTCCCAGGAGGTGATGGGACCAGTGGCCATGATCTTAGTTTTTTTGATGTTGAGTTTCAGACCATTTTTTGCGGTGGATACTATACATGGGTTATTCATATGCATATCTCTAGGGATACAAATACAAATAGCAGCAGCGCAGTTGCCACGGGGGCCTATCCTCCGCCCACAGAACCAGCCGGTCCATTCACTGGTTGCCGTGCAGTGCTGGGGTCCTTCGTCATCCTCATAGCACCAATCCAGGAAGGAGCCCGGCTGGTGCTCGCTGCCTCCCTGTACAGCTGACCACTCCAGCGAGAAGGCAGGATGGGGAGTCTCCCCACTGAGCTGATGAGTGGTCAGTTGCACAGGGAGGCGGGGAAATGCTGGCCAGCCTCCTTCCCAGTTTGGTGCGATGAGCAGGAGGAAGGACCCAAGCGCAGCAGGGCAACTGGTGACCGGCCTGGGCGGTTCTTGGAGGAGGGAATGGGCCTCCATGGCACTTGTACTGCCGCTATTCATATTCTTACCCCCAGGGATACAAATGCAAATGGCTCATGTTGAGTGGATACTCTGAGAATAAGAGTCTTTGGAACTCTAGGATTGAACATAGTTGGTGACTAGAAAAAAATGGGAACTGAGGTGAATGGGATCAAGTTGGATGGACCCCTCTGTCACTGATTCAGAGTTGCCCTCAGCCTGCAAAGTTCTGCCATCATGGGAGCAGCCCATGGCAAGTCATGTTTCTTATGGTTCCTCCTTCCTTTGGCAGCTCCACTTTCCATGACAGCAGCAACAGAGGATGGAAAATGCCCTGCAGAATAGCTTGGGCGCCTTGCAAAAACCACTGGCCTTGTTCAGCACCATACCTTTATTGTATGGTGGTTCTCTTTGTCTTTTCCTCAAATATTCTACTTCATGAGAAGTTGAAAACCAAACAAAGGCTTTTTCTTCATGGGAAAGTATTAGAGAGCTTTCGGGGCAGGGTGGAGGGAGGAAGGTACATCAGGGCATCTCACCTCATGTTTGCATCCCAGTGTTCATCATGCCTGGGAAGCCTTTGACCTATCAGATGCTTTCGATCACAATTTTCGCAATCCTTGCAATTAGCTGCACTGCATAAGGCTGTTGGGAACTGCAGACCCAACCATCTGGAGATATGAAGGTTCCCCAAATAAACTCTGTGTAGTTGATTACTTTGTTTATTCAGTTGTAAAATATGAGAGCCAATTTTAAAAAAATCCCATTGATTAAAATAGGAATGAGAGTTCTTTCTAACTACACTTAAGTGAAATCATTCCGTTTCACTTTTGGACTAACTTTAAAGATGGACGAAATACTTGCTCACATTTGGTAGCAATGCTCAAACGACTCTGTTTCTGTCAGAATTTGGCCCTTCATATCATAAAGTACAGTAAAATGTTAAAACATTTACTTATATGATAAAGCAAACAAACAACATCTGCAATCAAAATAATTTTTAACATCTAATTTAAACAGAAACAGTTTGCTATCAAACACAAACTGCATGAATTATTTACCACTCTTTACTTGATCTTTTAACTAAAGAAATACTGATTTCCTAAACATATCTAGGATCTGCCAAAAAAGTGATTAATACATTCCACACCATATAAATGCAATAATCTTACATAGCATCTATCTATCTATCTATCTATCTATCTATCTATCTATCTATCTATCTATCTATCTATCTATCTATCTATCTATCTATCTATCTATCTATCTATCTATCTATCTATCTATCTATCTATCT